TCACTACGGAAGTAGGATTGCCCAACCTTCCTTCCGAGGAGTGGCTGGTGGGTTTGAACCGCCAGCCTTCTGGTGAGCAGTCAAGTAAGTGCCTTAGGCACTATGCTACCAGAGCTCCTTTTTAAAATCTAGTACTTAATAATTATTTTCAAAGAGAGGGTTGGTCCAAATAACCTAGCCTGCTATATTCTAGAAAACAGATTCATTTTTTAAAAAGTTTTAAATATAAAACCAATATAACACTGAAAAGAAAATTACCCATAATTCAACTTGTCATAGTTTTTAATCTTTGTACATATTTCTTTCTAGTCTTGGACTATATGCATACCTGCATACATATGCACACAGGTTATATCAATCTGTCATTTTCATAGCAAATGATATGTATGTTTATTATCTGGGGTGATAATAAACAAAGGCTATTAGCCAAGGAGAAAAACAAAACAAAATCCTTGGGAAAGAACACCCTGAAATTACAAAGGTCCTTTTTGGGTGGCGGGGGGCTGGTTGGGTAGGGGGCGATAAACTTACCGAGAGGCGAGATCCAGCTCTAGCTCTGGCAATACTCTCCTTCTCCTTTTCAGACACCCTCCTCTGCACAGCCTGGAAACTGTTCAAGGCCGCAGAGAAGTCATTCATCAGACGTTCCTTCTGAAGTTTCTGCTGGCGCTAAGGATATTAAACAAGACTTGACAGTTCATATTAACCCAGAATCATTGTGTTTTAATTCCCATTAAATACAAAATTTTGCTCCCTCAGGAGTTACAACTAGAAAAATCACTATGAAATATGTCTTCCTTAAATCAATAGATTTGCTCTTTGCTAGCTCAAATCCCCAGTTGATACTATAGGCAAGCCAGCATTTTCTTCCTTTCATTCTGACAAACCTGGAAACTGGCATTATTTATCTTGTAAGGTAATCAAAGTGGAAACTGTAATTCAGAAATTGGTTACCTGGAGACTCTAAAAGCAAAATTAGTACTTTTAGACTCAGGTTGCACCCAAACATCTCGATTGGTTTTTGCAAAAATGTATTTGAGTTCACAGCTTCCTTGAAAACCATAGAATCATGTTCTTTTTCAGTGTGGTGAGGTTTAAAATCTTTGAGAACCTAAAATCTACACTATATATACGGGCTACTTTGCATATTTGTAGGCTACCTTTACTACACTTGCTGTTTTTAAGCCTCAAAAAACACAAATTCAGAGTATTTGCTGTGTGCTGAAAACAAAGAAGTAAAAACTCATCCCTGACCTAGAACAGCTTACTCCCTATGTGTAAAGAATATGGACATACAAGTAATATAAGCATTATAAATACTTGCTTTATCCAATTAGTACTATAGAAGTTCAGAGGTAGGAATAATCAAGAAGGACTCAAGTCATCAAGAAAGGTGTCTATAGGAGGTAGAAATGGTAGGAAGAATAAGGCATTAATAAGCGAAGAGAAGGGGTAAGGAAAATCCAAGCAAGAGAAGAGTGTGGTAGAAATCTGAAAGGTAGCTTTGTTGTTGTTGTTGTTATGTGCCGTCGAGTCGGCCCCGACTCATAGCGACCCCTCCTTGGGTTTCCGAGGCAGTATCACTACGGAAGTAGGATTGCCCAACCTTCCTTCCGAGGAGTGGCTGGTGGGTTTGAACCGCCAGCCGTCTGGTTAGCAGGCAAGTGTCTTAGCCACTATGCTACCAGAGCTCCCGAAAGGTAGCTAGAAGGAGACAATTTGACTGGATCCAAAAGGTTTATTCATGAGAGTAAACTGGAAATTTTTTAAGTAAAATGAGAAAGTAAAAGATAAAATTGGAAAGGCATAGAAGGAGCTAACCATATCAGGTTTTAAATGCCAACTTAATCAATTTAAGGTCCAACCTCTAAAGAATAAAGAGCAGGGAACGTGATGGGTACAAGACAGCAATTTAGAAAGATTAATCTGTGACACTGTACAAGACAGAATGGAAAAAAGAAGTAAGTCAAAAAGATTACTACAGTCGTCTAGGTTTCAGGTTAGGAGGACATGGTACTGGTAATGGGAACACAAGAAAATGAATTTAAGAAATATTATGACTTAGTGACTAGCTGTGGAGGAAGAGGGAAAAAGTCAAGAATGACTCAATTTTCAAGCCTGGGGGAATGAAAGTAATCATAAAAACAAATTTAGATAAGGAGTCATTTTTAATCTTCCTGGGATTTTCACGTGTTGCATAAACAACATTATGACAATAATGGGGGGAGGGGAGATAACATTTCCCAATTTCACCATGAAAAAAAAAATGTTTATAAGTATACTGCAAACATTTTCCATGTTACCATACCTTCAAAATCATGATCTTTAAATATCTACCAAGATATTCCAGTAAATTTTACTTGAATAATTTCAGTTTTTAACTATTATAAATAAAGCTACAGTGACCCTCATTGTAAGAGTGAACACTTACATAGTGCTTATAATGTACCAGTACTGTTATACTCACTTCATATAATAACTCATTTCATCCACACAACAACCTATTAGGCAAGTACTGTGATAGTCCCTATTCTACAGATAATAAAACAGGGCATATAGAGGATAAGTCATTTTCCCTGCGTCACAGAGTTAAGTGGCAGAAGTAGAATTTAAACTCAGGAAATTAGGCTCTAGAATACATATAATTGTTGTTGGGTTTGTTTTTCTCTTCAGAATTTTTTTTTCATTAAGATAAAGTTGTGTAAGTGGGAATATTAGGTCAAAAGGCACAAACTTTTTTATGACAAATATAGTCAATTGGCTTAGCTACAGGGTTTGGGTGAAACATGAGGAACTCAGTATAAAACAGCACATTAAATTTTAGATGAAGGCAATATATTCAGAGGAGATGTCAGGAAATGAACTGACAGCACAAGCCAAGTCCTTAAGGACTCAAAGGTTAGGGTTGGAAAAGATCTGGGAGTTATGCTGATCAAGTGACAGGGAAGGTAAGTAGGTAAGACTTCTGAGGAAAAAACTACAAAATGAGAAAATTAGAGGACAAATGGCAGAACTTTGGGGCATGCCCATTTCTAGGGACATATGCAGTGCACTGAATTACTTAATATGGCCTTTCTAGCCACAGTCTCTGTAACTCCCACCAAATAACTGGTTAAGACTGTGCAAATGTGAGATGCTTGTGGCCCACCAAGGGGACTGGACAGCTTGCTAATAATGTAAATAAGGTGCATGGCGCCCTTGTGGAGGTGGAAACATGCAAATTAAAAAAAAATGTAAATAAAGGAACCATCCCAGAGGTAGAAAGGGGCAATCTCATTACCACCAAGAAAGAAGGGCTAGGAGTGGAGTGTGTCCTTTGGACCTGAGATCCCTGCACTGAACTTCCCAGAGACGGAGAGCTGTAACATTTTGTTCAAATGGCAAAAGACACTGAGAAGCAAAGGCAGAGAAATCATGGCAGCAGAATGAGGAGACCCTGCAGGAGACATGGTAAGAAACAGCACGGTGAGCTTCTGGACCCATAAAGCGAGAAAGCTGAGTGCCTTCAGGTAGGAGGCTTGCTGGTGCAGTGGGGTGCCTCTAGGCATTTATCAGCAGAGCTAAAAGAGCTTTATAATACTTGCCCAAGCAGAGCAGAGGCTAAGATGTCAGGGAGCTGAGGGCCAGAGAGAGGCAAGATTGTAGGCACTGTTGAAAAGAGCATATCCTGATTGAAGAATTGTATTCTATGTTGTTTCTGATCCTGAATTGTGATCTATTACTTCCCTAATAAACCCCATACTCATGAGTATTGTCTTTGAGTTCTGGGTGGACATTCCAACAAATTACTGAACCCAGCAGAGAAGTAAAGAGTGGCATGGGAGGGACAGTTGGTGCCAAACTCAAACTAAACCAAACTCACTGCCATCGAGTTGATTCTGACAAACAATGTCCTACACTGGGTTTTCGAGGCAGTAAATCCTTATGGAAGTAGATTGCCCTATCTTCCTTCTATGGAGCGGCTGGTGGGTTTGAACCACCAACCTTCCGGTTAACAGTCAAATGCCTTAGGCACTATGCCACCAGAGCTCCCAAATAAGTAAAAAGGTTGGCAGGTAGAGGCATGTCTGACCTCTGCCTCATAGGAGTCAGTCTTGGGCTGTTGATGCTAATAATGATCTTCCTCCTCCCTTGTGAAGTTAGGAGGTCAAACACCTTTCCCATGTCATTTTTACAATACAGAGCCAGGAAAGGAGGCTGAGACTTAATCTGAAGTCAGAAACAAATAGGCCAGTAGGAGAACACCAAAGCTGGGGGACAGAATGAAAGGGAATTATGGAAAGAGGAAGGAAGTTTCTAAGGACACAGGATAGGCAAGAGGATCAAATGAAACAGAGAAGAGAAGTGAACATCAACTCAAAAACGGCCACTGGATTTGGCTACTAGAAGATCACTGATGATAAACACATAAGCGTGTACTAAACATGGAATATACTGAAAGTAGAATGTATGATTTGAGGTATAGGACAGTAGGGAAAATATAGGTGATGAGGCAAAGATTCTTTAGAAAGAATGGAAAGGGAAAAGAGTATTCACAGTAGGAGGAAAAAAAATCAGAGAGAGACTACTTTTGCAGATCCATTTCGTGTTCTTAATGATCCAAGCTAATGGAAGAGAACAATCGCATGCATAATCCAAAAATAACTTCTATTTGGTTTTGGAATACATTAGATGCATACTTTTTTGTATCAGATTTAACTTTCTATTTATATTTTGCTTAGACTACTATTTAACTCTTAAGTACTTTCAATACTCTGCAGACCTTTAGACTCCTTTTTTTGTTACTATTAAAACTCTCTACAAGTGTGTATTCCCTAAATGCAGTTGAGGAGAGGGAAAGGGCAATTTGGGAGCAATATGATATGGATGGCAAGAGGGAACTGGTCTGTAATTGAAATATCAGTCTGAGTAACAACTCAACCAAACAGCCCACAAGGGGATGACAAGGGTGATGACATTAAGATTACTTTTTATCATAACAGCTTGTAGCAGGATGACAAAGCATTAGTTCTATTCATCCTTCTCAGAATTCAGCAGCTCTTTTTTCCTCCCTTTTGTGCAAAACTCCAAAGACTGAACATAGGCTTCTTCCAGCAGCTTGCCAGGTAAGCTAGTGAGTTTCAAGAGTTTTGACAGAGACCCACACTGAGAATTTGACATCACGACCTAGGACCATTTATGTACATATTTATGAAACAAAAGTTTCATGGAACAGTATTTTCCCCTTATTATATGCTACACACTCTGATATTTCTACTCTCTTTCATTTTTTAAAATGCTGATCACAAAAACTAAAATGATTTCTTGTTCCAACTGGTCATAACCTACAATGTGAGTAACAACTTAGGAGAGGGACATTATGGGCTTCATCTTCAGAGCCATCAGAGAAACAGAACATTGTCATAAAAAAAGAAAAGAAAAATGCCTGGTAATAAAAAGCATTGTAAGTTAAGTGCCCCATGAATGGTATAGAAGCTAAAAGTAAAATGTAATCATAACAGGCTAAGATAGATGGGAAGGTTTTGTCCCTGGAAGAGAGCAGATCTGAGGTAGGATATAAACAATAAGTAAATGAGTCAAGCCACAATGAAGGAGAGGGCGAGTCTGGCTTCAGGAACAGGGTAAAGAAAAGGCATGGCATATTAAGGTAACAATGAATTCCAGTAGAAATTTTGTTTTAAAAGGATTTAAACGCCCACTGAATAAAATGGTTTGTAAAGAGAAATCTCTTTCCCTTCACATTTCTTCAGTCTGAGACCTAGAAATGACTCCTGAAGGAACATGACTGTACGAAAGAAAGTCAGTTGATTGAAATTTGTAGATACTGGACCAAGCCTACAAACATAAAGCTGCTAGCCAATCGCAAAGAGATGGAAACAGTGAAATTCTTCTCCAGTTAAACCTATTTATTAATATATTAATAATATGATATTAATAACAGCAACAGCTACCATACATTGAGTAGCTACTAAATGCCAGGCACTTTGCTATTCCACATACTGTTTCCATTAGAACAAAGTCCCTTCTTATTCAAAAACAAACCACAGAAAATACCAACCTGTTCTGAAGTAGATAAAGGAAGGGGCAAGGACCCTAATTCCTTCAGCAATTCATTTGTTTCCTTGGCAAGCTGATTGGTTGAGTGTTGTAATTGTTGCCTAAGAAAGAAAAAACGTTTCAGGATATTTTTACTTCTTGATGCTATTATGGCCAGCATCATTTTAGTCTCAGAGTGTCTCACAAAGCAGGAGATGAAGGGGTACTTGAAGAAAATGGGCTCCTTGATGCCCAGGTTCACAACAAAACTCCAGAAATACTGCCCAGTCAAACCCATTTCAAGACATCTTCACATTACAGAGCAGAAGCAACCTGCCTCAACGAAATATGCTGAAGGAAGCACCAATCAGGAATATTAACTCTTTGGGGAAAAAGAAAAGCATATCAGAAGTGCTGGCAGAAATATAAGAGTAATTGCCACCCACACCTAAACCTAATAGTTATAACACAAAACTCTCACAGTCAATCACCCAGGAGTTTTGCATGGTTAATATCTGTCACAGTCCACAGACTAGAGACAGAATCCAGGCACAGGTGACTGGATGATATGTACATTAAAAGTATAGCTTCCCACCCCAAGGAATGACCTCCAAAGATCTACTCTTATGTTCTTGCTTAAAGCTTGTTCATTTTCAACATTATCCTTGGCTCTCTACCTGCCCTTTGTGTTTGACTTTCTGGCTTGTCCCTCCAAAACAAAAAAGCTGTATGCTGTTTAAAAATATACAAGTAGGAAAGCCAACATACCAAAAGCAAGTGACCAGCACAATAACACTAAGGAAAATGAAAATATAGAGAGGTGCACAAGAGGTACAGACAACAAGAAAAGCACTATTACATCAACAATACAGCATTATCAGTAATAACAAACAATCTATGGATAGATACAAAGGAAGACAAAAAAATATACAAGTAGGGAAGGAAGAACATTAAAAAGGTAAGAATATGTAATGTATTAAGTGGAATTAGAAAGTAGCAGGAATATAAAAAGAGGTCCTTTCATTCAGTTTCCTCCCTTTTTTGGCCATTTCTACAAAGGTTTTAAGGGAAGACAGAAACCACACCACAAATGATTAATGTTTCTTTTACGGCAAAGGAGCTTCCAGGAAGAAACCTAGGGATGTCATTTTGATAGAGAGTTAACTAGAAGTTGAACATCCCAGACAGTACTAAAAGTCTCCATTTATCATATTTAACATTTCCCTGGAAAAAGTTCAAAGTAGTAACAGTCCTTCTCTCACTTTACAATGTGTGAGACAGAAAACAAAATTGTTCAATGTTTCTTAGAGATGAAGAACAGAAGTTTTCAAAGCAGAAATGGAGTAAAAAAGATATAATAAGAAGAATCAGGAATCTACCACTGTTTATTATTCCTTCCCTCGGGTTCCCCTTGGGTCATTCTGAGTAAATTTTTCTAGTATTACATATTTCTAGCTAGACTAGATCAGCTCTACAGACCATCAGGAGTCCTATGCCAAGAAGGAGGCTCATTTAAGAAAAGTCATGGGCAAAACATGGTTTAAGAGTAGCAGGGGGTACTAGCATTGATCTACAGGTAGACAGGTGGGTGGACAGGCTGAATGATCAGGTATGTCTAGGTAGGGGGTACTGTGCCCATGACCATGTATAGTGTTAATAGACAATATTTCTACATGTGTATTTGTATCTGCTATAATGTCCAGGTGTATAGTAGAGCTGACAAGGGACAAGGTTATGGTAGCTTCTTGTCTACAGCCAGCTACCCAGAGGGAGCAAGCAGTTGGGCCTGTGGGCTTGGGACCACGGTCGCAGGGGACATTAAGCTCAATTGGCATAACATACTATACTACACAAAAACATTGTTCTACATCCTACATTGGTGAGTAGCGACTGGGATCTTAAAAGCTTGCAAGCAGCCATCTAGATCCAACAATGGGTCTCTCCTCGTCCAGAGCAAAGAAGAATGAACAAAACCAAAGACACATGGAGACAATTAGTCCAAGGGACTGGTAGACCATGCAATCCCTAGCCTATATGACCATGAGACCAGAAGAACTAGATGGCGCCTGGCTACCTCTCTCAACCACTTGGAGGGGAACCAGTGCAGGGAATCCTGGACAGAGTGGCAGAACAATGTGGAACAAAACACACAATCATAAATTTAAAAAAAAAAAAAGAGCAGGTTTGCTGGTCTGATAGAGCCTGGTGAAACCCCTGAGACTATGGCCCCTAGCCACTCTTCAGGTCTGGTATTGAACTAACTTCTGTGGCTTCCAGCCAAATAATAAATAAGCATATGGGGTGACCATTTACATCAGGTAGATATACTCCTTGGAGCAATCAATCATGGCAGAACAGAAGGGCAGTGTTTGCACTGGGAGACAGTTCAGGGGGCACAGGGAAGAGGTTACTATGGGGAGGAAGTAGGAAGAGAGCTGTTACATTGAGGTGAATTACAGTGAATGTCCTGAGACAAAACGTGTATGAACTGCTGTATGGAAAATGAATCAATTCTGTAAAGTTTCACCCAAATCACAGTTAAAGGGGGGGGGGGGGAGTAGCAGTGGTTCCTTTCTCAAGTTCCCTTTCTGCTAAAATGCCTGAGAAGAAAGAACCAGAGTGTAAAGACTTTTGAGAAGCAGCAGACATCACAACCCACTAATATATTTTGTTGCCCCCTCTTCTAGTTCCAGCTATTACCTCATACCCCACTGCCTCTCATCTGACTTCATGGAGACCTGAAACCTAAGAGGCCATACAGTAAGAAATGGCATTAAATGTGTCCTCAAAGGGCCCTCACAAAACCCAGCCCTGTTAGGAAGCTACTCACAGATTTTCCTGTAGCTTGCTTGAGTCTTGTTTAGTTCCTAGTTGGCTCATCAAATTCTTTATCTGAGCAGCTGGGGAGAGAGGGAAACAAAGATTTCTTTTAAAGGAAAGTACATTCATCATGAGCACCCTTCTTCCCAGATCACTGGTCTCTCTCTACATCCTAAGTAAGTACATGAAACTAATAGTAAGCTTGCTATGAGTAAAACGTTGGCAAATACATTTTTCCTAAAACAAATCACAAGTATCACCTTTCTCCTACAGAGTAACCAGGTGTGTAACTAAAGGTTGGTGGGTTTTTTTGTGTGTGTTTCTTTCTTAAAGAAACTCATAGATCTCTCACAACAGGGTAAAAATTACATCAACTTTGAAAGGACTTTGATACCAAATACCAATTAGCAACAATACAAAATTTAAATCTACTAATACACAAAAATGATTCCATAGCAGGTATTTTAGAAAAATTATTGTATTTATTATTAATAATAAATTACTATTTATCGAGCACATCTATGTGTTTAGGCACTATACTAGGAGTTTCGTATACATTATCTTATTAATTTTCACAGCAAAGTTGGAAGTAGATATATCTTCATTTTGCAAATGAGGAAACATACTTGGAGAGATTAAGTATCTTATATAAACCAAAAACAAACAAACAAAAAAAACTCACTGCCATTGAGTCCGATCCGTCTGATCCGTTGGATCCGACTCATAGTGACTCCTCCTCAGGTTTCCAAGGCCCTATCACTATGGAGCTCTGGTAGCGTAGTGCCTAAGGCACTTGACTACTAAACAGAAGGCTGGCGGTTCAAACCCACCAGCCACTCCTCGGAAGGAAGGTTGGGCAATCTACTTCCATAG